AAAAAACCCCAATTAACCCTGCTGTCTTCTTCCAGCCTGTCGGGGGTTAAAGTGTGAGTTACGCTGAGACTTAAACTGGGAATGAATGCCAGATACACCCTAAACTTAAAGTACCACTTCCACAAAAGCATCTACTCTGTTTTCTAATCCTCTTCTAAGACCCAAGTTGCATGAGATACCTTTGCTTAGTATCTTGTCACTTTGTAACTGTACTATAATTTATCCCTGCATGTTTTTTTAACAGAGCGATGGTAGGTAGGTGTTGATCCATTTTTGCAGCAACCACAACACCACAGATAGGAGAGGTAATAGATCACAAGCATGTGTGGGCAGTTTTAGGTAAAACATTGTTTCGCGTCTGACTTCCTGTCTAAGTCCAAAATTGGAACTTTGTAACTTACCATCTGATATCATAGTGCAGAGCTGCAGCAGTCGGCTCAGGCTTGAGTAATGGAAACCTTTCTGTGTTCCAAGGGTTTGATCAGCCCTACACAGTAATTCCATCCAGGAGCACCAATGACTATTCTAGTTGTGCTATCACTTTATTTTGAAAGCTAGCTTTTCATTTTTGCCCTTTTACCCTTCATTTGCTGCTGCGGTGCTCTTCACTAAGATAAGAGATACTCAGAGTTACAGTAAAAATGCTTAAGAGTGCTCCCACTTAGCCTAACCCATAATAAGAAATCTTAGATTATTTGCAGTTGGAAGAGGATCAGGGTTTAAACTGACCAAACATTTCTATGAACAAAATGTTGCTCAGCAGTATTTAAACATCATTGCTCAAAGTTTAAACATTGAATGTCATCTACCTGCACTCTACATTCAGAAGCACCTTAAAAATTGGCTTAAAAACTAGGATCAGATTTATCACAAGGCTCCGCATTCAAAAATATTGGCATTTTCAACATGGGATTGAATAGGAATGGATAGGTTGGATATCATTTCCGACTTAGAAAGCTGCACGGTGTGCCAGACCACAGCTGATCCACTGAATTCTGTGCCGTGTTGCTGTGTAATACCCAAAGCATGAGCAACAGCACACAGGTTTCTAAAGCCAGAACAAACCATGCATAGAGGAAGTTAACAGCAAAGTGACAGCAGCGTTGAGGTATTTCACCTTACATACACCAGCAGGTTTTATTTTTGAGTTTGCAGTAGTTGCTAATTTCACCACAGTCTGTGGTCAAATCAGCCATCTACTTATGTACAACTCAACCAATCTATGTCTAAGTTGAGTCTGACTTTGACTTAAATATCACATAATGACCCATAGTTTCTTCCTCACACTGGAGATTACACAGTTTTTAGCGCTAGTATTGTCTCAGCAGTCTGTATAGGAAGACACCTGACAGCAGATGTTAAAGGTCTGCACGTCTGCAAGCAGTCTCACTTGAAACCAAAGGTTTGTTCTTAAGAACTGTCCAGTACACAGTGAAACGAGACAACATTCCTCCAAGAGCTTGGTGCTACAAATGACATATAACAGACAAACAACACGTAAAGTGCAATGTGCAAAAGTTGCAAAAAACAAAGACAGTGCAACAGCCAACAGAACAGAATGATACAGACACAAGACAGTGCAGGCACAACAGTGCAATAGAAATGTGCAAAAGACTGAGCATTGTGCAAAAAGTCACTTTGTGTATAAAGGTGTGTGTGTGTGTGTCAGTCCAGTCACCGAGTGTTCAGGAGTCTGACGGCTTGGGAAAGAAACTGTTTCGCAGTCTGGCAGTGAGGGCCTGAATGCTCCGGTACCTCTTGCAGCAGAGTGAAGAGTGTGTGTGAGGTTTGCGTGGGGTCCTCCACGATGCTGGTGGCTTTGTGGATGCAGCGGGTGCTCCAGGTGTCTGTGGTGGGGGGAAGAGAGGCTCCAATGATCTTCTCAGCTGCTCTCACAATCTGTTTTACATCTGTATCAACTTGAGAGAAAGGCAGATGTGAAATGTAAAAGTGAGGTCAGAGGTCAAATATGATATTGGATGCAAACTATAATGTGATATTTAGATTCCCATTTTCCAGTGTCATTTCCCAAATGTCCATACAAACACATTTTTTATATAGCTCTATATAACATTATTATCAGGAGAGGTCAAAGCGATCCTGTTAACATTCAGAATGACATACAAATGCTACCAAAAACAAAACCTCCTTGGTGAGGGAGATAACCTCAGTGGTA